GGTTTTTTTATCATTCCTCTTTACATTTCAGTGATTTTTTTTTCACAAATTATCTTGATTTGTAGCTATTACATGATCAAACCAAGTGAAATTTGCCTGCGTTCAAGATAAGATTGTCTTGGGGGGAACGCCCAGATAAGATCTTTTGAATAGGACTCTTCGATGTGCGAGTTCTCCGCTCTTGATTTGTCTCTGTCAGACAATGAACTGATGTCACTGTCGTTATTTCTTGAAGGCTGAGCTCCAAATCAACAAGTGTCGCGACGCCGTGTCCTACAACACCTGCGAGTACTTTACTACGTGGGCCTTCCGAACTGGGCTGTGCTCCCTGCTGGTATCACCCACTACGCCATGGGCGGCTGTTGTGCGAGGCACCCAGCCCCCACTGTCGTGTCCCGTAGACAAGGTACGGAGCACAGTGGACCAGAAGACCGGCGCAGGCGGCCAAAATTGATCCAGGAAGCGGAAGAAGGGGATAACTCAATTTTAGCCATTTTTTCAGGAGAAACCAAAAACTGATAGCAGGGAAAACTAAAACAAAACAAATGAATGTTGCAGATGTTAATAATTTCAAAACGCATTAGTAAAATTTTGGAAAAAAATCAAAAGTGTTAGGTTATACTCAGTAGAGGATTTCTGCGGCTTATCACTTTCCGTTGAAATGGAAAACAGAGTCAGCTCACCTAAACAAAGAGGAATTTGGAGACAAGTGAAGTGGAACAAAAGTCTGCATAAAGTGTATGTTAACCTGGTGTATTTTTTGGACTTAGCTCTTTTTTCCAAATTGAAATTTTAAAAATTTAAAGGGGGGGGTTAAGTTGAGTTGATTCTTTTTACACTAGATTCATAAAAATACAAGTTGAGTTATATCCTTTTGCCAATTTGTCAAACGGACTCAGGTGGACTTCGGTTGAGTTATCTCCATTTTCCAATGAAATTTAGACCGTAAAAGGGGTTCAGTTGAGTTATACCTTTTTTCCATGTGGATTTTCTCCTAAACTCCTTGGAATTCAGTCAAACAATTTGGTGGAATGATGTAAACCATTCTAAGGCACAATAATAAAATAAAAACTCAATTTGGGGATAAGTCAAGTTATTCCCTTCTTCCGCTTCCTGGATCAATTCTAGACGCGTTTTGAGCTCCAGAGTAGCAAAATGTTCGCTAAAGTGTACACGTTGTGGAGTCATTTACGGTCATTCTTGCCTTTTAAAAACCACAGCCACACTACATATCCAAGTTCGGGACAGGCACATGCACTAGATAACGTGGGACAAACTTTCCGACGCTTGCAAGTGTGGGACACGGATTTGTCCCACGCTTGCAAGTCCCACGTTATCTAGTGCATGCCTGTCCAACACTTGGATTTGCAGAGCACATTCTTGAAAGTCATTTCGCCATCGATTAGCGCCGGCCTGTTTCTGCGCCCTTCATAACCGGAAGCACTCAAAAAAATTTCAATACAAAATTCTGTAACATGGTTACGCAGTAATTTCCACTACAAATGTTACAGAATTTTGTATCAGCACTGATACAAAATTTTGTATCACGCGTTACGGTAAACTGTTTCCCGGTTACAGAATTCTGCAATGCAAAAATCATAAAAATTTGTCGTTTTATGAACAAAATTTGAACCTCAACGATCGTTCGTTCCTACACATTCGCTCCGTCGCTCCTGTACTCCCGAACACCCGGAGAAACCGAACTGCGTTCTCCGGAACCGAACCCCGGTCCCCCGGATTGCCAGATCGGCATGCTACCGCTTGCGCCACAGCACCGTATGGGGGAGGCACGCCTCAGACTGTCGATGACACCGCGCGGGCACGCTGCATGCCCAGGTAGTGGTGGGAAACGAGCCCTGCGGCGCGACAGTTAGAGTTCCTGGCCCGAAGCTTCTAAAGTACCATGCCCCACGTTAGGACTTTTCGCCCGATCAACTGTGATGTTAAAATTAAGCTCGTAATTTGACTTTAAATTTGCGTTATTAATTTTTGCATCAGACGATATGTAAACTTGTAACGATATGTTACGGTTTTCCGTATCAGTTACAGTTATTTGCATAAAGATCGCATTTTTAGATGGAACTATATCACTGATTGTGAATATTGAAACAAAAAGTACAGAATTTTGTATCAGTTTTGGAATTTTGAAGCACTGATTCGTGAATTCGTATCATTCTTGACGTGATACAAAATTTAGGATCAAGGATACAAATTTTTGTATCCGACTGACGTGTTACAGAATTTTGTATCAAGATCGTTACAAAATCCTATATTATTTTTTAGAGTGAGGCTCTTGACTAGAAAGAGGCAGTTGCATATTTGGTTCTTCGTGAGTTTGCGAAGAAACCTTCGGCATAATTTATTCCAGAGGTACCGCCGCGCGAATTCCCAGTTTATTTCGTCTGGTTTCAGAAATATTACTCAACGGCAAACGCGACGTGGGACCTGAACCACCCCATGCTCTCTTTCCTAGAGGGGTTCGTGTGGACCGGATCGCTCAAGGTGAAGGACCAAGATGACGTCACGTTCATCTGTGCCCGTGGCGGCTTGCAGGCCTTTAGGGTCCGTAGCAAGGGCCACTAGGTGTTCTGCTCACAACTTCTCGACGTCGGAAACCCTACACTGAATGTAAACTGTCCCTTTCTCTACCCTGGCGCGATGTAAGAGTCGAGAAAAGAACACAATGCGAGTTGTTTGACGTATTCTACTTAGTTATACCCGTTCTATTTTCCGTGCACTTTAACTCTTGCGCATCGTTTCACTCAGTTGCCACTGCCGACCTCGGTGCCTGCTTGCCAAACTGGACCTATTCACTGCGAGAAATAAGACAGAAAAAAAAAGTTCCGCCAAGGCAAGCTTGGCAAAGCGGTCTTGCCGTGGACCGGCAGGGGAGGCCGGGCAGAGAGGGGGCAAGAAGGGTGGGGGTGGCTGTGAGGAGTGGGGACTAGCGCGGCGTGGCGGCGCAGGACGACGACAGACGACGACGACCAACACGACCATGCAGTCCCCTCCCAGCGCGCTGAATGGATGGATGGGTGGATGGGATGGGGTGAGTGGGATCGGATGCAGAGCTAGAAGCGGTAGCAAGACCGCTTAAAAATACGGAACATGGTAATTATTTACCTGGACCGTTCGTCCCTTTCCTACCAAGTACGGAACTTCTGTACTACATATTCTTGCAGGTAAACCAGCAAACAGGATCGAACGGGTATATTAAATCGACAAATCACTCGTTTCCCTTTAATTTTTCACCCCTTTTGTGCGAAATAAAGTCGGCTGAAGCGATAAATCGGTCGGGAAACGGGTGTATTCCGTCAAACATAACCACACTCTCCCGAGGAAATTTTGCCTCAGCAAATTGTGGTGTTGTAGCTGACTTTCTCTCATGCACGTTATTAAAAATATCAAGGTAAAGGGTGTGATCTGTCAATCCGAAATGCCCGTTTCATGCCAAATGCTGAAATTAAATTAATCACACGGGAAATGTGAGGGGGACTGAGCCGAGTCGTATACACTGTTAAAAAAATTTAATTACATTTTCATTACATGGTAGTGAAGCTATAATCATTACAATGTAATTAAAGTTTTCATTACACATAAGTTATTACAATTTTCATTACAGTGTAATGAACGAATGTAATGAAAATTTTAATGACAAAAACGTAATGAAAATGATCAAAGTTGAAGCAAATTACGCAACTTTTCGTTTTGATTTGACATTAGTTAGAGTGAATTCACAACGACTCTGACAGCAGAGAAGAAGTAAAAATTGAGAGACCCAGGACGGCTCAGGTCTGAGGCAGCTTAGTTGCCTGAGTGAGAGAGATCGGGTGCTGACCCTACCAAACGGCAGCCCGTAGACGCCTTCGAGCAACATCAGACAAACCTATTTGGTCAGTTCAAATAACGCCCTATTCCCCCAAACTCTTCGCCATTAGTTTAACAATCCAGCACTTCACATGAACCACGGATACATTTCATAATATCTCCACACGTTTTAATATTTTAATACGAAATACAGAGTGGAGAGTGATTCCCGTGTACCATGCGACACCTAGCGGCAGACTTGCGAATGACAGGTTTGGCATATGACGCCGTAATGGACGACTGTAGGGGAAAAATTGATATTGGCGGCCAATAGAAGGCTAAATTAGTTTAAGTAAGCGTGACTTAGATCATGGACAAATCCAAAAAATTTCAGTCATGCTTAAATATTTTTGAAAAATTTAATAACATGTAATGAAAATTTCATGACAAGGTGCATAATGTAATGAAACTTTCATTACATGGCTAATGTCATTAAACTTTATGACCGAGGTAATGAAATTTTCATAACAATGTAATGACTGTGGAGATGTAATTAAAAATAATGACATTTAATGAAAAATAATGTCACAAATGTCATTAAATTTCATTCATTTTTAACAGTGAGCGTCAACAGAATCCGCTTTTATCTGAGCAATCCTTTACTTTTTTGGTTAACTTATAAAAGAATGAATTTGTCCCTGAGCTTTTAGATTACACTGAATGTATATCGTAAGTTAATTTGGGCTGATCTGCGATTTATTGATAATACTTAGTGCTGTCAGATGCAGTCTGACGTCAAAGTATGAGAAATTGGCCCATCGACTAAATCTTCGTCAAATCGACTAAACTAAATAATTGGTAACATTGAATAAGACAAATTCGTCGATTCAACTTTACTTTTGGGACAGTGACTATCGTAAGACATGGGCGATTTCCATGTTATTCCTAGAAAAAACAGGCCGTGTTAAGTGCATACACGCCATGTGCGCATCGATGGTTGTGTTGTATTCACACACTCTCAGACCTTCACGGATTATTTTTTCTATATTGTAGAAAATTTACTCTACGGCTTACTGATTTTAGAGCGTTACTATGATATAGTAAATATTTTCAATAACATATCGAATAAATTTTACATGAGATACAGATAAATTAGCGGTAACAAATTTGGTAATTATAGACAATCTTTTACTTACTTACAGAAAATTTACAATGTCAGTAGAAATATGATGACAAATTTGTTTATAATCAAAGAATTTATTTTCTGCAAATGTAGAAGACAAAGTTTGTGCTCATAAACAATTTGTCGATGACTACTTTGTGATCTTCAGTAAATATTTTCAGTGAAATTTTTCTCTGTTCAAACAAAGCTGATTGGAAGGTAATGCGCTTAGTCAAAATGATCCTACAAAACATTCTTAGCTTCGACAAGTCAAGAAAGGACTCAATGTAAGCGGCTTTTAAGAGATGGTTGAATTGTGACTTTTAGCGGAAACATCCAAAAAGTTATTCTGACTCTTTAAAATCTTTTCTGTTAATTCTTGTATATATTATCTGTATGTAGAGAACATTTTGCCTACATTTATAGATCATTTTTACTAGAATGGAACAGTAATTTTTTTCTGCTTGATCAGAACTGTAGTTGCAGAAAATATTATCAACAGACCACTTTTCTGTAAGGTTGCTGATTATTTTTTCTGTACTTACAATCAAAAGGACTACAATTGCAGAAAAAATAATTAAACTGTAGGTTTACTGAAAAAAATGTCCGTGGAGTGTCGGAGAGTGTGCACCTTGTTCTCACGACGTGCACTGAGTCATCCAATTCCTACTTCCTGTTGTCTTTACCTCTGCGGTCACGTAGTCAGCAGTATTCAAGGACCGCATGATCGAAAAGATGTAAATCGGGACTTGTCCCGCGGTGAGCGCAAAAAAAGCATAGGTGAGGAAGGGCCTGTTGGAGGTTTTCACGTATGCGGCCATGCTTTCTGCAATGTGTATGGAGATTGCAAGAAGACCAACCACTAGTGCGCACATGTTGAACAGAACCAATGCTACTTGTGGGCCGAAGCACTCGCACACATCTTCCAAACATTCTGTCGCTTTGAGGTGGGCCTTGCGAATCTGTCGGACAAACAGGTCATTCATCTTCGTGTAACGTGCAATCTGAAACAAGGCGCTGTTGCCTCTTTTCACCTATCCTTGCAGCACACACAATTATTGGGATACTGCACTCTCATTCCAGAAACGTGACACCGCGTTGAAACGAGCATGACAGAATGTATCACGTTCCTTTGAGCATTGTGTCACATTCGTTTCTACGTGATAAAGCTAATTTATGGCTGATTCACGTCCAAATGAATGTGACACAGTGCTCAAAGGAACATGACAGTTGCCACATTTGTTTCAACGTGATGTCACGTTCCTGGAATGAGAGTGATATGGTTTCTGAGTCAGAGAGAGAGAGAGAGCGGGAGAGAGAGAGAGAGTGAGAGAGAGCGGGAGAGAGAGAGAGAGTGAGAGAGAGCGGGAGAGAGAGCGGAGAGAGAGAGAGAGAGAGGAGAGAGAGAGAGAGAGAGAGAGAGAGAGAGAGAGAGAGAGAGAGAGAGAACAAATCAACGGTCCTAGCACCAAAGGCATCACGCCATTAACAGTCTTTTACGCCCTTGAAGGGCGCGAATCGTTTTATTTTACCTTAGGAAGTATACTTCCCAAACCAGGACGTCAAACCAATTAATGACCTTAAGGTCATGCCCTAGGGCATTAAACGATTGACGCCGGGGCCTAGATCGTTTACACTCAGTCAGGGCATGGTTTTAATGCCTTTGTTTCACCAGTGAAGACCAGTAAAACAGTGTGGGTTACAAACCTGCAAGATAACTTCCGAAATATCTTTCTGCGTTTCCTTCCTTTGTTTCAAAAATGTGATTTCTCCATTCAAACGTTTGAAGTCGCTGGCCAACGTATCCAGAAGGAACAGAAACAGCGACAGTTCTGTCGATTCCATAACCTTCTGCCAAAGTTGATTAAAAAGGATTAAGAAAACGCCTGTAATTTTGTTGATTGTGTCAGCTTCTTCGCCCTTGCAGCACACGATTCGTAAATGGGCTTAAAATGGCAAAGACAGTCTTTGATTTTCCCAGGCCCAAGGTGGCCCTTAGCGAAAACCGCCGTGAAAAGCAGTTCATTCAGGAATACGCTCATTTTCTTACGAACGTTTTTATACGTATTACGATGATTTGTCATCGTAAAGGTATGCACAAATTTGCAAGTACGCAATATGCAGAAATGTCTACATAAGGTATGCATGATTTCATCGTATTCCGCAGTTCTTCATAAGAACGTCTGATTTTCATCGTATTACGCATGATTCAGCGTAAGTTACGATGAAATTTGTCGTATTACGTATGTTTTCATTTCTACGTATGTTACCCCGTGTCATCATAAGATTCTGAGGGTGAATTGAAGCCCTTCAGATGAAACATACACTGAAAATCAAATAGTGATACATCTCACTGGGGGGTGAGACAGAACTGTCTCACCGAAAAAGGGTGATACTAAAATGTATCACCGAAAAACAGGTCGTACACGAATGTATCACCGAAAAAGGGTCGTACTTCCCCAGGAAAATAAGGGCCAATCTCGCTGATGTCTGACCTATTTTTCGGTGATACATTTGTGTACGACCGTTTTTT